TTTGTAATTATAAGTAATCTGTGGGGAGATGCTTTGAAACTATGTAAATGTCCTGTTACTCTTCAAATTTTCCATTGTTGATTCTTCCACAAATCAATTATTACTATAACGATTACAAAATGATTTTTCTAACTTTATTATTCCTTCTACATTTATTAGTTGGCATTCTACTGTAATGAAGAACATTTCCTCTATTCCCCTGATGCATTTTACTTGCTTATTTTATGCAGTGACTTATAAGGCATTATTGTCATTATTCATTCTGAACTCATATTGTCCTATATTTGGTTTGAGCTGGCTCCTATGTTCTTCTGACATTTAGTACCATAAAAGGTATCCCACCAATCTTATAGACAAGGAAAATAAAGTGGCTTACCCTTTTATAAAGGCAAGTCAAAGTTCACAGTAGAACTGGACAGTCTTTCAGCTGGAGCATTAACTACAATATGTTATAAAATCTACAATTGTTCCCTGCACTATTACTTAGAGCACCCAATAACTTACACTAGCACCTAGTCTAAAAACCAGAAAAGGAGGGAAAACTCTACATTAACATGAAATAATAAAGTAGTTGTAACATTTCCTTTCTACACCATGGACCTTAGCATTTAAATCTACTGGAGTCCTAAAACAGTCAAGAGTTAAAATAATGGTATTTAATATTCATTATTAGTAATTATATCAAATATATACTCATTTAATTCTATGACTACCCTTTGAGGTAGTTATTGTTACCCGATTTTACCAGTGAGAAAACAAAATTAAAATATAAGTCAAAGAATCACATTTCAAAAGGCCCAGACTATTAAATTTATTGCCCATCACCAAATATGTGGATTATACCGAAATATAAGAAGTATCCATCATCTGGCAGGGGGTAGAGAATGAAAAGGAAAAAGCAAAAAGAGGGAGCTTGGGTGAGAGCAATATTAAGTTGGAAGTGTTAGATACAGATCTTGGATTCCTGGAAAAATTGTAAAATCATTGCCATAAAGGGCATGAACTATAGACTGACTAACCAATGACAGAGTGAATTCAGGCCATGAGAAATCTGATAAAGTCTGCTAATTTATTTAAAAAGTTAGTAGAGTGAGTGTCTAAAAAATAAAATGCTAGTAAGCTCAAATTATAGGTACAAAAAGTGAAAGGATGACAGGCACCTGCAAATCATCAATGATAGAGGGGCTGTCTAATAATGTTTTATGTAAATTATACCAATTAAAATAAAGAGAAGGCTGTCTAACTAGAAGTCCAATTGCAGGCTGGGTGCAGAGACTGTATGGGTGGTGGAAAGAGGACTGGACCAGAATCAGGACATACTAGTATAAGTCCCAAGTCTCTAATCTGTACAACTAAGAGGCTGAATATACCTCCCAAGACCCTTCCAACTGCAAAATTCCTTAAGATACAAAACAAAACTGCAGTTGCTACAGGTGAGGTATCTTGAGTGCCATCACTGAGATCAGCCTAATAAACTGAACTTATTTCACCCCATAATGTTACAAATTCTGCTTAGATCTGCACTTTACTAACTAAAAGAAAATAAATTAGAGGGATAAGAAGCAGATGGGTTAAAATACTTGTTTTAATCCCTTACTTTTCAGAGCTTTAAAATATGCAGCTTCCACAACATCCTAAAATGTGAGAATTGCATAGCAGTATAAACATATCAACTATAAAAATGTTGAGGGAGGACATGAACAGGTAATATGTACAAGTGAAAGTTGTCATGGTACCATGTGAAATTATAAACAATATTTTCAAATACTTTCAAGAAACATTGCTCTATTTTTGTTTTTTTAAAAAAAGCACTTCATGCCGTGGCTTGTGTTGTTAAATGGTTAGAGCATCAGCCTGTACATCCGAGGGTCTCAGGTTCTCTTCCTGGTCAAGGGCATACACCTGGGTTACAAGTTTGATTCCTAGCCCCTTTGGGGTGCATGCAGGAGACAACCAATTGATGTATCCTTCTCCTCCCCTCTCCCTTCCACTCTCTCAAAATCATTGGAGCCCTGGCCAGTTTGGCTCAGTGTATAGAGCATCGGCTTGCGGACTCAAGGGTCTTGGGTTCGATTCCGGTCAGGGGCACATGCCCGGGTTGTGGGCTTGGTCCCCAGTGGGGGGTGTGCAGGAGGCAGCCGATCAATGATTTCCTCTCATCATTGAAGTTTCTATCTCTCTCTTTCTCTCCCTTCCTCTCTGAAATCAATAAAAATATATTTTTTTAAAAAAAATAAAAATCAATAAAAAAAATATCCTCTCGTGAGGATTAACAAAACAAAAACAAAAGCACTTCATTTCCTCTATTCTTCCTATTATCATTCCTCCTCTCAACTTGCCAGAGTCCTAACAGCAGACAAGACTGCTGAACCCTGCTTTTATTTATTTATTTATTTTTTTAAATATATATTTTATTGATTTTTTACAGAGAGGAAGGGAGAGGGCTAGAGAGCCAGAAACATCGATGAGAGAGAAGCATCGATCAGCTGCCTCCTGCACACTCCCCACTGGGATGTGCCTGCAACCAAGGTACATGCCCCTGACTGGAATCGAACCTGGGACCCTTCAGTCCGCAGGTCGACGCTCTACCCACTGAGCCAAACCAGTCAGGGCATGAACCCCATTTTTAATAAAGCATAACCAGATAAGGTGACACCAACCTCAAAATAGTCAACTCTCTAGAGACATGACAAGCTCTAGCAAGTTACCCTTCCTAGCAAATGTACACCTTTCATTCAATTTGGGGGCTACCAGAGCCAGGTACAGGCAGACTTGAAACATACTGACCAATTTCTCTCCCTAAGAATGGTGTTCCTTTACAATGTATTTTTGTAGGTCAAATGAAACTTTGGGAATAATAATGATAGACTGGTTAAAAGCCTCCTGAAAATAACCTTCCCCATTTTCCTGGTTAGCACCAGTCCCCTCTAAAGATAACAAATACTGAAATGGCCACATGGCCCTACTTACCTCTTTTCATGAGTTTCAGACTCTGCTACCTTTCTTTAAGTCTATTTTACTTACTCAGACTCTTCCCAATGCTCAGTATTACTTAAGTCTCTTTTTCCTACATACCCTCATGGATCTTTTAATAAATCAATTTAAAAAAACAATTTATTAACTTTTGGCTTTAATAATGTATAAATTTCTATAGCAGACCATCCAATAATCCAGTTGCTTTTCATAAATATTTAAATAAACTCACATTTAACAAATCAGGATATCTGATTTTGAAACTGGCCTTTTAGCTCGGCAGACATGGCTCAGTGGCTGAACCTATGAACCAGGAGTTCACAGTTCAATTCCCAGTCAGGGCACATGCCCGGATTTCAGGCTCCATCCCCAGTGTAGGGAATGCAGGAAGACAGCCAATCAAAGATTCTCTCTCATTACTGATGTTTCTGTTTCTCTCTCCTTCTTCCTTCCTCTCTGAAATCAATAAAAATCTATTTTAAAAAAAGAAAAGAAATTGGCCTTCTACTAAAATAAGCCACTTTAAATACCTATAAATCCTAAAAAGTAAAAAGAAAAAATTTTTCCCTATCCAGCAATTCAACTTCTGGGAATATACCCAAAGGAAGTGAAAGCAGGGAATTAAGAGATACTTGAACACCCTGTTCATAATAACATTATCCACAATAGCCAAAGCAACCCAACTGCCCATCAACAGATGAATGGAATAAAAAAAATAGTATATACATACAATGGGATATTATTCAGCCTTAAAAAGGAAATTCTAAAAAAAAAAAAAAAAAAAAAAAAATCCAGCCAGTGTGGCTCAATGGTTGAGCACCGACCTACCAACCAGGAAGTCACAGCTCAATTCCTGGTCAGGGGGCACGCCTGGGTTGTGGGCTCGATCTCCAGTGTGGGGCGTGCAGGAAGCAGCCAATCAATGATTCTCTCTCCCATTGATGTTTCTATCTCTCTCTCCCTTCCCCTCTGAAATCAGTAAAAATATATTTTTTTTAAAAAAGGAAATTCTGACACACTCTATAACATGGATGGACACTGAGGACATGATGCTAAGTGAAAGAAGCCAGTCACAAAAGGACAAAAACTATCTGATTCTATTTATATAAGGTACCTAGAAGAGTCAAATTCATAGAGATCAAAAGTAGAATGCTGGTTGCCAGAGGCTGGGAGGAGAGAGGAATGGGAAGTTGTTGTTTGTGTACAGAGTTTTACTTTTCCAAGAAGAAAGAGTTCTGGAGATTAGTTGCACAACAATATGAATGTACTTAACACTACTGAACTGTACACTTTTAAAACGGTTAAGATGTTAAATTTTGTTATGTACATTTTACCACAATTTAAAAAAACAAACAAAAACTTCTCTATGTCCCAAAGCTAAATTCTAGGGTTGAAAACCTTTTAGTTTTGAACTACTGCGTTATCCATCATTTCAACAACACTTAGCAGGGTGAGAATTCAAGTGAGACAAATAGCTCTTTTTGAGTACCTTATGCTGTTTAATAACAGGTGTGTTGCCCTAAATAATTAGCTTTTAAAAAGGAATAGCCTTAACTCTCCTCTGGAACTGGTTAGTCATCTCAGTTTCCCTTCATTAAGTTCTTGATAGCTCAATATCCTCACATCTGTCATTGTTTGGGAGACTTGATTCCAAGAATATAATTGCTTCAAGGACTAAGCAACAAATTTATCTGGTTCATGGGGCAGATTTGAACCCATCTGTTTTCTAATCAAAAGCCATATTTGAATCTGTTTTATTCCATCACAGTATCGAAATAAAAGCAATGCAATCATATGGTATTTTCTTCCTTTCTATCCATGTAGTATAGATGACTACAGGAAAAACAAATCAATTAAAGGCATGAGAGCATCCTTAGAAACACGGTCTCTGCATACTGTTAGATGTGCTACCTTTTCAATTTTTGTTTGTTCTTTAGAAAACTGTGATTACATTTACTCTAAGTGATATGGTTTCCTTTGGAATTACACAGGAGGAAAATATTCCCATATTGTAATAACGAACTTACCGCAATCTTTTTTTAAGTTGTAAACTGTCATGGATGATCCTTTTAACAAACTCTAATTCGCCTCCTTCTGCCATGATCTCTGTGATACCTCCTGTATTTACCGAACTAGGTGGAGGTCTTCGAGAATTTCGAGAGTTTACTCCCTGAACAACAACAAAAAACCCTGGTAAAAAATTTTACACCTTAAGACCAAATCTTTGACTGTAATCTAGTTCTAAATAAGAATGCTTAGGCAAAATTTTAGTTTCCAAATGTCATGCTAGCTTTTGGATTTAAAAATCATATAATCATTCCAATACTACATTTTAAAAACTGCATTCATGCAAATATTCCTTCCTAGAATCTTTTACCTTCCATCTTTGTGATTAGACATACAAAAATTTTACCTTTTTATGTACTCAATTCTGTCACTTTTTTTTTATGTTTTCTGTCTTGATATCAGTACCGCAAATATTCCAACCAAAGATTAGATAAATATTTGTTTTCTTCTAGTACTTTCATGATTTTACTTTTTAAATTTAATTCACTCCTACACCTCAGACCATATTAAAAAAAATAACTCAAATGGATCTAAGGTCTAATATAAAAGCTAAAACTCTTAGAAGAAAACATAACAATACATCTTCATGATCTTAGCTTAAGCAATGGTTTCTTAAATGGTTTCAAAAGCACAAGCAACAACAAAAACAACAAAATAGATAAACTCGACTGCCTAAACATTAAAAACTTTTGATCTGCAAAGGACACCATCAAGAAAGTAAAAAAGGAAAGCATCGAACAGACTGTCAAATTACAGCAGGAAGGCTGGGGAGTGTTGTGGAGGGGGGAAAGAGATCAACAGAAGGACTTGTATGCATGCATATAAGCACAACCAATGGACACAAGACACTGGGGGGGAGGGGAGGAGGATGAGGGCATGCGACAGGGGGTAGGGGAGCCTGGGGGAAGGTCAATAGGGGAAAACAAAGGAGATATATGTACTAATATGTGTAATACTTTAAACAATAAAAAAAAAAGGAAAAAATAATAAAAATAAAGGAAACAAAAAAAGAAAGTAAAGAAGGCCCTAGCCAGTTTGGCTCTGTTGATAGAGTGTCGGTCTGCAGACTGAAGGGTCCTGGGTTCAATTCCAGTAAAGGGTACATGACCAGGTTGCAGGCTCAATCCCCAGTAGGGGGCGTGCAGGAGGCAGCCAATCAATGATTCTCTCACATCATTGATGTTTCTATCTCTCTCTCCCTCTCCCTTCCTTTCAGAAATCAATAAAAATATACTTAAAAAGAAAGACAAGCCACAGAATGGAAGGATATTTTTCAAATAATATATCTAATAAGAGACTTGTATCTAGAATACACAAGGAATTCTTACAATAATAAAAAAATAACCCAATTTTTTAATGGGCAAAGGATCTGAATAGTTATTTCTCCAAAGGAGATACACAAACGGCCAATAAGCACATGAAAAAATTTTCAATATCATTAGCTATCAGAGAAATGCACAGCAAAATTAAAATGAGATACCACTTAATACCCATTAGGATGGCCATAATTAAGATAAATAATAACAAGTGTTAAGTGAGGCAAAAGGAGGTTTACAGTTGTTCATATGGAAAAATAACACAATAATTAAATAATACAAAAATAAATACTAGATGAAAGAAAATAGGTTAAATACGTATTTCATACGTATTTTATTAGGTTCTTTGTTTTTAATTCAATGTATCTTTCCATATTCATAAGCAAATATATTTTTCATTTGAAGTCAGAAAGATTAAATTGGATATTTGTTTACTATCAAATGATAGGTGGCAGTAAAAACAGTTAAGCTCCTCCTGAAGGCAATAAACCCAATGCAGGACTATATTGTGACCTAAATTGGTCCAATCAGAAGAAACCCAAAAGTGTAATGGTCTGGGGAAGAAAAGAGCTCTCTCCCCACTCTCTCCCCCTCTGCAAATATTACTCTGCCACAAGTAAAGCAGACTAAGAACAAAAACAACCAAGGGCGAGGTCAGAGCCAAGAGAAACCTGGAAAAACTGAGCCTTAGCTTTGATACTATTATGATCCCCTTGATCAAATTAAGTCGACACTACTGCTGGATTTCTCAGATATATAAGCCAATAAATTTTCTTTCTTGTTAAAAGTCAATCTGAATTGGGTTTTCAGGTGCTTGATTACAAAAGCATCCAGATACAGCTTCCAAAACAAAAGCTGTTCTTTGCTCTTATTTTTGCAAGCACGGTAAACTTAGATAAATATTCAATTACTTTAAAGGAGAGGATATTTTACCTTGGCTTCCAACTGATTGGCAAAAAAGGGAGGATTGCACATGCAAAAGTCATAGATTATCTCAGATTCTTCTTTAAGAGCATCCATCAGAAGTGTCTTCTGTGGTACTTTTACAACTAGGGAAAAAAATAGGACTGTTAACCAATATTAATGCTGTGGTAGTTTTCAAATATGTCCACAAATTCTGTGACAATAGTCCCTTCAAAAGGTGGAGTTTGATTTCCCTCTCCTTAAGTATACGTTGCACTCACTGACTCGTTTTTATTGAATAGAATATGATGAAGTGACAGACAGGATGTCACTTCTGAGGCTCGGTCATAAAAATATGGCTTCATCCTTGTTCCATCTCCTGAATTATTTGTTCTAGGAGAAGCCAGTAATACAGGCTTCAGTATCTCCCCTTACAATAATAAGTTGACTTTGTGGAATCTCTTTATGGGAGTCTCTTAAATAAATTAAGAACACAAATAAACACCAGCCCTTTATATATAAAACTAGAGGCCCGGTGCACAAAAATTTGTGTACTGAGGTGGGGGGGGGGTGGTCCCTCAGCCTGGCCTGTGCCCTCTCACAGTTCGGGAGCCCTCAGGGGATGTCCTATTGATGGCTTAGGCCCACTGCTGCCACTGCCAGCCTCCCTCTGTGGGAGGCAACCAGGCAGGTGATCAGGGGTAGGCGATCAGGTGATGGTGCTGCCCCCATCAATCCACCACTGCTGGCCTCCCTCTGCAGGAGGCGACTAGGCAGGTGATCAGGGTACAGCGCCACCCCCATCATCCTCCCTCTGCAGGAGGCAACTGGGCAGCCAATCAGTCCGGCACAGCCCCGCCCCCTCCTTCACCCCCCCCCTCCGCTGCCGCTGGTCACTGCCACCTCTCCCCATCATGGTCCTCTCCCTCTGCCTGCTGGCACATGCCTTGGCTGGCCTGGCGCCACCTGCTAGCCGGCCCCGCCCCGCCCCTCCCCCCCCGCCAAATGGTCATTCGCGGTTTGGTCAATTTGCATATTATGCTTTTATTATATAGGATAAGCACAAACGTAAAAAGTAATGGATTATTAAGGGAATTCAACTATTTGTAACAGAGTTCCATGTACTGAAATTAAAAAAAAAGATGGTGTAATTTAATCAACAGTGGGGTTTTCTTACTTTTAAAATCTTGGTGATTAAAAAAAATAAAAAAATAAAATAAAATAAAATCTTGGTGATTAATAAAAATAAAACAAAATAGCCCTAACCAGTTTGGCTCAGTGGATAGAGCGTCAGCCTGCGGACTCAAGGGTCCCAGGTTTGATTCCGGTCAAGGGCATGTACCTTGGTTGCGGGCACAACCGCAGTAGGGAGTGTGCAGGAGGCAGCTGATCGATGTTTCTAACTCTCTATCCCTCTCCCTTCCTCTCTGTAAAAAAATCAATAAAATATATTTAAAACAAATAAAATAAAAAAATAAAACAAAATAAAAGACACCCGGCTGGTGTGGCTCAATGTTTGAGCATTGACCTATGAACCAGAGTCACAGTTCTATTCCCGGTCATGGCACAGGCCAGGTTTTGAAGTTGGTCCCCAGTAGGGGGCATGCAGGAGGCAGCCGGTCAATGATTCTCATCATTGATGTTTCTCTCTCTCCCTCTCCATTCTTCTCTAAAATCAATAAAAATATTTTTAAAAAATAAATAAAATCTTGGTTACCAGGTTACTTCATATACAGTTGATTCTATTATTTGCAGTACCTGAACATATATTTATGTTCTATAAAGTCATCATAACCACTGAATTAGTGAATACTGAACTACTGGCTCTGGGGAGAAATACAGGGTAGGTTAGGTCCAACATTTTCATCAACCAATCAATACATATCCTATTTTATGTTTCTGTTTAAAGGTACTTTATTTAATATATATTGTTGATTCATTAACACTGAACTCATGGTCAATAGCACTATAACTCATGTCTGAACGAAGCTTATCTAACACACATATTTTCTCTGCAAGGCATATCACAGCCTTCTTGCACTCAGGAACACTAGATAGCACTGAAGCCAGCGGTTGTCAACCTGTGGGTCGTGACTCCTTTGGCGGTCAACAACCCTTTCACAGGGGTCGCCTAAGACCATACTGCATATCAGATATTTACATTATGATTCATAACAGTAGCAATATTACAGTTACGAAGTAGCAACAAAAGTTATTTTATGGTTGGATCACAACATGAGGAACTGTATTTAAAGGCCAGAAGGGTGAGAACCACTGACTTAAGCACTATGTTTAGGGCCATTTTAAACAATAAAATCACCAAGAAAAAGCACAAAAGTGCAAAGAAAATGGCACTGAACAGACCATGAAAAGGACACTTGTTTACAGTCTGAGAGCTGAAACTCAGAGCATCACCTTGTTTAACTTCAGCTGGGAACATGCATGTTGGGTGACCCAAATTTTTTTGCTGCTCTGCACATGTCTATGGATAACCACCAAACCACAAGTATTGATTTTGGAGTTAAAAATAACCCCATGTAGGCAAATTTTAGCAAGTAGAAAATTCACAAATACAGAATCCACAGATTATGAGGCTTGATTGTATTTACTATACCTCTTTCTGAATTAATTCTGATAACAAAACAGTAAATTCAATTACAATGTACCAGATTTTTTAAATTACCAAAGTTTGTATATTAAAGCAAAAGAATGTGTTAAATTAGAAAAACAGGTTAATAAAATAAAGCTTAAAAGGAATATTTATTCTGTAGAGCTAACCTTTTATAAGATCAGATAAGTTATTCTGTTCCACATTTTTCTTTGCATAGTTGAAGCACATATCATCTACTTCTGTTGCAAGAAAATACCAGCCATTTAAGGTACTTCCAAGTAAAGGATAGATGCAGGATGCTCCAGTACCTAATAAAATAAAAATTCAAAACACATTGCATATACCTTAGGGAGAGAATAATAAGCAAAAACACCATTCTTAGAATTCTTATAGCCTTGACAGTGGCTTCTGGGTTCTCTAGTCTATAAATAAATATAAAAGGCTAAGTAACCAACCGTCCGTCCATCTGATCATTCAACCGGCCAGTACATATGACGCACAATGGCAATTTAAAAATAAACATTGACTCGCACATGCGGGATACATATAAAGCTCTTGCTGGTGCCAATCGCATGTGTGTGTTTCGATCTGTCATTGTCGATCGTGAATTTGACACTTCTATTGTAGAGAAAGGACAAATAGCGATATTAAAATATTTCTTCTAATTAATTTCCTTTCAATGTGCATGAATCGTGCACCGGGCCACTAGTTATTTCATGTGTTAGTCTTATCCCATAATTAGATTCAAATTTCTTAGAGGATAGAAATCTTACTAACCTCTTTTTTGTATGTTTGTTGTATGTAAAATGAAGTATGTATAATTGGCTGGTGATCAAGGAATACATGACTGATTAACTGAAAATTGTCAAAACAATTTAATTTGCTTTATAAAATCTCTTCATTTAAAATTTCACACAAATCTTTATTTTCTTAAAAGAAATCAATGCTAATTGTTAAATCACCACAGTACTAAAATAGATGAAAGCACACCCTATTCCCCAAAAGTAGAAAAAATTACGTAAGGCACAGAAATTTTATATTAACACATTGTATGCAGGAAACGTATTTATACGTTTTACGTTGACTGGTAGTAGAGCGCGGGACACGTATTAATACGTTTTTTATAGACTAGCGGCAGAATGCGGGTAACGTATAAATACGTTTATTTTTATACTTTTTTATTGCTCTAAAGGGATGCTAACATGCAGATATACGAATTCCAAAGGACAAAATTTGGGTCTCTAACACATACAATGGTGAATTATGTATGTACTTCCAGGTATAATGGTAATCAATCTATTCAACTGCAAAAATGGCCCCGCCACCTGTTAGCGCAAGATAAAAACTACCAGCAAACAATGTGTTAACCCCCTCCCCCAGTTCCCCACATATCTGTGAATTGTTACTTGAAGGAAACCAGAATTAAAAGGGGGAAAAAATTTAAAGAGAAAATTTATATCTTAGATGTGGAGACATGGAAACATATTTGATCCAGATCAAAAACATCACCCAGCCAACACGGCTCAGTTGTTGAGTATCAACCTATGAACCAGGAGGTCACGATTCAATTCCCGATCAAGGCACATGTCAGGGTTGAAAGCTCGATCCCCTGTGTGGGGCGTGCAGGAGGCAGCCAATCAATGATTCTCTCTCATCATTGATGTTTCTCTCTCTCTCCTTCACCCTTCCTCTCTGAAATCAATAAAAATATATTTAAAAAAAATACATCTTATAAAAACAAAAAACACATCAATCACTGGCTTGACCACCAAAATTTCAAGGGGACATTCATAGGCAAATATTCCAGGCAAAGATAATTCTTTGACACCCAGGGTTTGGTCCTAAATTTGTATGTAGAACTTCTAACTATACACTAATCTCAAATATTGTTTTTACAACCACTGACTAATCTTGGCCAATAAGATCTTAAAGAGAAAAAAAAGCCAGTGTTTCTCCCAAAGGCCTAAGAAGTTAGCCCATACCAGCCACCCCAGGCCTGTTTTCCTCTGGTCATATCCTGGCACAGGAAGAGTGGAGGCTAGAACTCCTCCTAACCCAGAGGAAACCCAGGCTCATCTTACAGCTTCCTCATTAAGTATTTTGAACAGTCTAGTAAAAAAACACGAAAACTGATGGCCAGAACATTTAAGCTCTTTTGACAGTCATAGTGATTGCTAACTTCCTATCATGTTTACTGAATAACATCCAGGCCCTGATGCTTCTGGACCAACACCTCCTTGGGGACATGTGATGTGGTGAGGGAAAGGATGGTAAAGGGTCCTCAAGCTCCTCTCAGAAGCCACAGTTATTACCCCTTCTAGCCACTGTGGTAAGAGAGTCACGCAGAATAAGAAATTTCAAGCAGCACTTTCATCTCTGCCGGGGGAAAAAAATTCAGACCACATATATCCCCAAGCTCTTGATTCTCATACAACTGTCTCTCTCTTCATATTTCAATTTTATTTAAAAGCAAAAACAAAAAAAACAAACAAAAAAACCCACTTTCCTTCAGTTGCCCAACGATAACGAGGTAAAAGTCCTGTCCTTTGCCAAAAAAATCAAGTTTCTCAATTCTTAAAACCCTAATCCCCTCAGAAAGCTGAATGACATTCTTAAATGGTAAAAAAATCTTGTAACGATAAATAAAAATGGAAAGTGTATAATCATGGAATTAGAGCAAACTGATGGAGTCTGGGGGAAGAATTTATATAGAACCCTAATTAGAATGAATGTGATTTCAGCACCAGTGCCCCTTATGAAAAGCTAAAATCCATTAACCTCCTATATCCCCAAGTGTTATTTTAGAAGGTTTAGGGCATAATTAAAATAAATTAGTACCAAATAGGCTCTCAAGCCTTTTAAGCTTTCTATAACCCATCAGCCATGAACATAAAAGGGCAGAAGCTTTTGTTAAACCCCATTATTTTTATATAGGGCTTAGCTTATATGGGGTGTTCAGATTTTTTAAAGTTGAAAGAATCACTTATCAATATCCAACGAATTATTAACTGGATACCTACTACTAAGCAACAGACCGTTTTTAGTCCTTGGTTATTATAGTAAGCAAAAAGGTAACAGGCTCTGCACTTTGCAAGCTGATGGTAGAGAAAGACATTAATCAATCAGGTAAGTGAACGTGTAGTTAAAAATTAAAAACACAACAACAACCCTGGCTGTTTTGGCTCGATGGTTAGAGCATCAGCCCTAGGACCTCATGTAGTGACTAAAAGAAGAAAGAGTAAAATAAGTTTCAATGGTTCGCATGAACAGGTATTAGTTGTTCCTGACAGTATTTAGTAATATAATCAGATCTTTCCTTTTCTTTTTTAAATTATTCAAGTTCTATATATTATTTTTCCAAGTTAAAATATAACTATCTCTTTTTCTGTTTAACTATCTTTTTAAAAAGAGATTCTTAAAAACCTGTCTTTTTCTCTTGACTCATGGTATGTTATTTTTTAAATGGCACTGTAGAAATCAGCCATTCAGAAGGAAAAGTTGAAAATCTCTTTATGGGAAATAGTTTTGGAATTACTCTCGCTGTGGATAAGCAGTACATGCATGGAGTAGTTAGTACTAAAATAGGTGATTGTCAGGTAAGATTATCTCTTTGGTCATGCACTCTCGTTTGTTGACTTAAAATGGCTGAGACTGTTCTTCCTTAATATAAAATGCCAAAGGGTCTTGGGTTCAATTCCTGGTCAAGTGCACGTACCTCGGGTTGCAGGTTCCCCAGCCCCGGTAGGGGTGTGTGCAGGAGGCAACCAATGGATGTGTCTCTCTCACGTTGATGTTTTTTTCTCTCTTCCCCCTCTTCCTTCCTCCCTTCCACTCTCTCTAGAAATCAATGGAAAAAATATCCTAGGTGAGGATTAAAAAAATTTTTAAATGCCATCATGGGAGAAACATAAAAACGTTAGCCATTACAAACATATAACACATTTATAATTGCTAAATATACCTTGGCTTCATTTCCTTTTGTATATCCACTTGCTCTCCTAAATGAATCAAATTGAACAGTTTTCTCCATTGTAGATATTTGCAATTAAGAGAATATCTTACTTTGACTCATGATTTTCCCCATCTTTAATTTCTGTATTAAATACTCTACAAATAACCAAGAGGTTCTTGAAAGTATTCAGACCTACACAATCTTTTATCAACTGGCCATTATCACAAAAATCACAATATGGAGATTCTGTTACTAATATCAAATAATTCAGAGTAAAAATAATACCCAGTAGACACAGATACCAACATGGTAATCTGAAAAGCTAAGAAAACAAGAGCCTCACTCATTTTGCCTCTCTTACCCATTTGCTCCCTATTTGTTGCTCAAAAGGAATTAATGGCAGAAAAGCCCACATGTAGCAAATGAGAGCAGTAATATCCATAGTCAGGTTCTTTCACATAATACATGAGAAGTTTATAAAGAATTCAACCTTGAAAATTTTATAAGACTTACATGTAGTCAAAAGAAGAATTTGAAACCACATACCTATGTCAATTCCTCTTCGGAGAGTACTTTTGTCAGAGTCATGATGACCAATCAGATCTTCTACCCAATGAATATAGTTGAGTCTCAAGGGAACTGTGGGAATTAGTCTCTCCAATGGAATATCAATAGAAAGTCCAAAATCTTCCCTTAGGAGAGTACAAGTCAGAGCTCTGACTGCTTCGGGATCTTTAAAATTAAGACTGTGGGGTGGAGAAAAAGAAGTAAAACAGATTAATAAGATTCAATATGTTGTACAAGCTCTATGGCAGCCAGGCAATACTGAACACCCACTTGAATTTCCTAATATATCACACATAAATAGCTGTATAGAGCAAGCATGTCAAACTCATGGCTCCCGGGCCACATGTGGCCCACAACGAATATTTTAGTGGCCCAGCCAATATGATGGTATGTAAGAAACGTTTTAATAAAAATTTCATAACTTAATTTTTACAATATCCGGTTATACATTATCTATAATAATAAAAGCATAATATGATAATTAGACTGGACATCCTTCCGGATGAAGCCAGGGCTGCAAGGGAAGCCCGGGTCCCGGGTACCTGTTGATGGCCCAGAGGGAAGCCCAGGGTCCTGGGTGCTAGAGGGGAGCCGGTGCAGGCAGCCAGGGGAAGGAAGGCCTACTCTTGCATGAATTTCATGCATTGGGCCTCTAGTTATTAATAACAAACTACAACATTCACTAATGACTGATTACTATAATCAAGTTGCATTCATTTCCCTTACGCGCCTTACATGCAGGCGCACCATTTCTCTCCACTAATTCTACCAGCGAATATTTTAGCAGCCAACTGCCATGTCATCCAGTCTGGGGCTGACTTGTTTGGTGTGCGCAACACGAAATATTTCGCTTTCGGAGAACAAGAAAAACAGGTTTATTTGAGTTACGCTTATTAACTTGTGCAGTTATTCAGTGTCTGGTAAGTTAATGTTCAAGAAAAAATATTAATTTTTATTAAAAGGTTCTATTCTTTTATGCCAACAATTACTCATTTATTTCAGCCCTTTGTATTCAGCATGTCTCTATCGAAATAAACCTACGTTTCTATGAAAATTGAAGCTTTTGTTTTTTTGCGGCCCACATAAACTTAAACCTTGTTTGTTTTTTTTTTGTTTTTTTTAAAATATATTTTATTGATTTTTGACAGAGAGGAAGGGAGAGAGATAGAGAGTCAGAAACATCGATGAGAGAGAAACATCGATCAGCCACCTCCTGCACATCCCCCACAGGGGATGTGCCCGCAACCCAGGTACATGCCCTTGACCGGAATCGAACCTGGGACCCTTCAGTCCGCAGGCCGACGCTCTATCCACTGAGCCAAACCGGTTTTGGCAACTTAAACCTTGTTTATTTGGCCCGTGTTAGCCTTTGAGTTTGACATGCTTGGTGTAGAATATCCACACAAGGGTGTTTAACACACAGTTTACAAATGATAGTATAAATTCCCATCAATGACACTGCATTTTCACACATGAAAGATAAAAGATAAATGTCTCTATTCCAATTCCTGTCTGATTGACTCCTTACCTAGCTATGTGACTTAGGACAAGTTGAGGACATGTTTCCTTGACTGTAAAATAGGGATAATGATACATATATCATAGTGTTTCTGAGAGATAATCTTGAAAAGTACTTAGCATAATGCCCAGTACATACTAATTATTTTAGAAATGCTGGCCATTTTTACTATTATCAATTAACATGATTTGACATTAGCACATTCTTTGAAAATTAAACTTAAAAGTAGAAAGCAGAAAAAATGTTTAATAATGAAAATAGAATATGATACTTAAATATAACAAATATTACATCAAATTTAAAATTTGACTATTTTTAGCAACTTTACTGAGGTACAATTTGCATACAATAAAATTCACCTAGAGTATACAATTCAATAGTTTTTAGCATATTCACAAAGTTGCGCAACCATCCCCATAATCCAATTTTAGAACACTTCCACCAGCCCCAAAAAGAAGCCTTATGCCTATTTGCAAGTCATTCCTTGTTTCTACCCTCAGATCTAGGCAACCACTAATGTACTTTGTCTCCATAGATTTGCCTTTTGTGGATACTTCATATAAATAAAAATCACACAACAAGCAATGAGAGTCCATTTTTACACATGGAAAGTTTACACATCTGAGTATCATACTACAGCATTCAAATAAATTCACATTCTTTTTTTATTTTTAATTGATTGATTCTAGAGAGGGGGGAAGAGAGGGGAGAGAAGAGAGAGGGAAACAGAGAGGGAAAAAAAAGACTTGTTCCATTTATTTATGCATTCATTGTTGACTCCTGTATGTGCTCTGACTGGGATCGAACCCACAACCTTGGTGTTTCAAGATGACACTCTAACCAACTGAGCTACCTGGGCTAAATTCACATTCTTTATTCTATAATAGAGGCTTAATCTACTTCTAAACTTCATTGCTAAACATACATAAGTATATACCAATATAATATCTATGTTCAAAGCCTTAAAATCTAAAGTGTCAAATCTCAGAATTTTCCTAGTGAAAAACTTAACCTATATACATTATAAAATAAATTTGAACAATATTACCTAAGAGTAGCATATATTGACTTACTGTCCCGCAACTTCTGAATGTTATTTTGTACTGGCATTTAAATAAAATTGGGGCCCGTCCAGTGTGGCTCAGTGGTTGAGCATCGACCTATGAACCAGGAAGTCATGGTTCAATTCCCAGTCAGGAAAAATACCTGGGTTGCTGACTTGATTCCCAATAGGGGGTGTGCAGGAGGCAGCCGATCAATGATTCTCTCATCATTGATGTTTCTATCTCTCTCTCTCTCCCTTCTTCTCTGAAATCAATAAAAATATATATTTTTTAAAAAGTCAAAGGGAAGAAGTTAGTTGACAGGGATTAAATATTTAAGAGAAGGAAAACTGAGCTGTGTAAAGTTCCTGAGATGAGGGAAAGATATGAGATCCAGAGCAGAGATGGAGTATTTCACTGAATTAGAATATAATAGTAGTAGTAATATTTGGTTGTTGAACAGAACCAAAAGCCAAACTCATGGCCTTCTATTGTGTTTTCCACCAACTCATTCTTCTCTACAACTGAGTTTAAGAATAAAAAAACCCAAAAACCATTAACATCTCCATCGGTTAAATAAGCAATTAGATAGTAACATACAAAAGCAAAGATCCTGAAATACTGAAAATGATAATGACCATTATTGATAACCCTAAATTAACCAAAGAACCTAAAATCCTACTTGCAAAATATTAATAAACTACCTGGATTAATCTCTTACACGTAGATCCCCAAGCTAGCTAGAGCAAACGATAAGAAAAAAAAACTTGGTCATCCAAGCACCTCCTTATCCTTTCCAATACAGTTAACAGTATATCAATTTTCTAACAAAACCCAATGACTTACCCTAAATTCAGTAAAACTTAAAAAAAAAAAAAAAGAAGTCCTGAGGGGAGGGTGTGTGTGGGGGGGGGGGGGCAGGAGGAATGGAGATGGAAGAGGGCATAGAGCAGGGGTTCTCAACCTGTGGGTCGCGACCCCTTTGGGGGTTGAACGACCCTTTCACAGGGGTCGCCTAAGACCATCGGAAAACACATATATAATTACATATTGTTTTTGTGATTAATCACTATGCTTTAATTATGTTCAATTTGTAACAATGAAATTGGGGGTCACCACAACATGAGAAATTGTATTAAAGGGTCGCAGCATTAGGAAGGTTGAGAACCACTGGCATAGAGGGAATAAATGGTGATGGGAGCCCTGACCGGTTTGGTTCAGTGGATAGAGCGTCAGCCTGCGGACTGAAGGGTCCCAGGTTCGATTCCGGTCAAGGGCATGTACCTTGGTTGCAGGCACATCCCCAGTGGGAGGTGTGCAGGAGGCAGTTGATCGATGTTTCTCTCTCATCGATGTTTCTAACTCTCTATCCCTCTCCCTTCCTCTCTGTAAAAAATCAATAAAAATATATTTTAAAAAAATGGTGATGGGAAAAAAGAAAATAGAGAAAAAAAAGACCAACAGTAAGAGAAACAGTTAAATAAATCTGTTCTGTATTACAAAAAATTTAGGAATGACCTAAAAGTAAACAACAGTGAGTTGATTGAAAAAGTTATAATACATCCACACAAGAGAATACTCTGCAGTCATTGAAAGGACTAAGACTGGGCTGATTCACATATTCTTGTATGAAGAGGATTCCTTGATTTAAAAACAAAAAGCCACAAGTTTAAGTAAAAGCATATATGTACATTATGATAACATTCTTGTAAAAATAAAACAAAAACCAAGTAAAAAAGGCCCTGTATGTATAACGGTTGGGTAAATGAGTAGGAATGAAGACTTTCATTCTCCTCATATTTTTATATTATCTAAATACATTTCATATAGTATCACCTTCATAATAGTGTTTTGTAACTATATGGAAAATGTTTATAATATAATGTCATCAAGCGGTGGTAAAAATAAGTCCTATGATTGTATCTGTATCAAAATTACAACCACAAAAATTACTATATAAGGACAAGGGCTTAAACACAAATAGATTTTTATGGTAGAAGAATTGTGACATTTTTCTTTTATGTCTGTAACATTACCATTATAAATGTAGTTAGGAAGAATATATTTCTGTCCTTTCCCATTAAGGGCTCTAAAATGTCTGTACAATAAAAAACAATTTCAAAAAAGGAAAACAGGTCCTTGGTTCCAGAGTACTTTGTTTCCATGAAAGGAGGACAAGTCTGTTGGAGACCAAACAGGAACATTTCCCGCGTGACAGCAATCACCAAAAAAATAGTGCTCCAGCTTGAGCATTATTACATAGCTTCATCAAACATCTGGAGCAAAGAAACAGCAATGTAATTTTTTCTTAGTGTCTTCAAACAATTGTTTATAGAAACAGTTCTGCTACTCTCTCTATATATGTATATATATGTGTGTATATACGTATATATGTATATATATATGTATTCACTTTGATGGACTAGAGCATACAATTTATTAATAAGCTAATCTCCAAAAAGCAAAATACATCAAGCAGAGGCTAGTCTAATTGAGGAAAGAAAGCTGAAAAATCAAGAGTTGCTTCTTAGACTTTTTAAAAAAAACAACAAGTGTTCATTTTCTTCTAAGAAAATACAGACACTAATCTCAGGGTTGGAAATCTTTTTGTAGGACA